AATATCTTGGATGCGCGCTGGCAAAATCGTAGGTAGGGAGAAAAAAGCTCATTATACTCTCGACTCTTGTTCATTAAACATACTTTTTCATACAGTACCTGCCAAAAAATTTGTTCAATCATGGATAGTAGTGCGAGTCGAAAACAAGTGTTAAAGCCTTTAATATGTTTTCAAATATAAATAAACATCTCGTTGATATTTTTAGTAATAAACGGTACCAATAACAGCAATAACAAGCAATGCAATTTTAGTGGATAAGATGGTCAATTTTTCCGTGCAGTACTGTACGGATTATATGCTCCTCACCGGTTAAGAGTTTGGCCGAGAGTTGTCTCCTTCTTTTTCTAGCCTAGTGCTGTTCTTTTCTAATTTGCGCCAGTCAAACTGAAGGTCACACCGCTACAGAAAGTAAACGAAGTATACTACTATGGATGCGAGCGGCATACTGTCAATATTCGTCCTTCCGCATACGGTCCATGTCAATTAATGGCCAAGCACTTACCATAGCATAAATTGTGACATTTCGTCCTTTACTGAAGTGATGATATACTCGAGCGAGAGCAATCAGGTGGCGGTCGAGCTTTCTACAGCAAAGAGAGTTCCCGCCCCCTGATTGCGATGAAACCCCCGATCACTTTGATCTCTGATTGCCATCCAGCCTAAATAGATCTGCCTAATATTTGTTGAATGCCTATCGAGAGGGAACAGGAGGACGGCCAGCTTCATGTCAGTAATTCGGTGGTCTCTTTCTTTTCAGGGAAGTGCGAACGGTCACCCTTCAAAAGGGCGGCCAGGGTCTGGGTTTCAATATCGTCGGCGGCGAAGATGGAGAAGGAATCTTTATTTCGTTCATTTTGGCTGGGGGACCCGCGGACGTTAGCGGGGAGCTGAGGAGGGGCGACCAAATTCTCAGCGTGAATGGCGTCAACTTGAGGAGTGCCACACATGAGGAAGCCGCGGCAGCCCTCAAGGTAACTAGTTTGTTTTTAATTTAAAATATACGTAACTTATTATATTTTATCTTCGTTGTGAATATGTCTTTTTTGCTTTTTATATAGGGTTGTTCGGAAAGTCGTTTTTTTTTGTGGAAATGAAAGACAGTTTTCGTATAGTAAACAAATACTTTATTAAATTATATATTGACCGTTCTGGTCCAACACCTTTTGCCATCTTTCTGGTAGTAGCATAATTCCACGCTCATAAAATTTTTGGTCTTTGCTGGCAAAAAACTGATCG